CTTGCCGCAGATAGCTTTCCCCAGATGCTAGTTCATACCTTGAGAAAGTTTAAAACACAGCAGCTGTAACATAACAAACTTCCATGTACTTGACATTTTATAAAACTTGAATGAATTACCAATTATCCATTTTTGGACAATCAATCACCATTTAAATTTATTCATTTTAAATTGTGATTATTATCCTTTTTTATTTTATCTTTTATATGTATATTCTGTTGGGCTGTAGGCTTCGGCCCACTCAGACCTGGGAGTCATTTAAACAAAGAGCAGCAGCCTGCTCTAGTTAAATGTGCAGGCAGCCCTAGTTGGGCCTATTTCTTTGATGGCAGTCAGGCCCAGAACCTTATTTAAGTGCTTTACCCTAATTGTTTGCCTATATATTGACTCCTGTACTTGTAAAATTATCATCTGTATCATTCATCATCTCAATAAAGAAGAAAACCCTAGTTGCCCCCGTGGATTAGGTCAGTAACACTTACTGGCTGAACCACGTTAATTTCTGTGTGCCGTTTCTTCTCGTTCTTTTCTCGTTTTCAGATTTGTGTGTGTGTGAACCCTAACCTTAACAACTGGTATCAGAGCCAGGTTAGCCACCACCACATATCTGACCACCACCACTGCTGCCGCCCTGCGTCCATAGCCTCTTTGTGCCGCCAACAGTGTGCTGCCGCAGAAAAACACAGCTGGCAGATTGTAAAGGTTTGGGACAATGGCAGACGACGGAAAAACCAAAGTCGAGAAGTTTGATGGACAAGATTTTGGATGGTGGAAGATGCAAATTGAGGATTTGCTGAGGATTTGCTGTGTCAGAAGGATCTGGATCAAGCCTTGACAGGAAAGAAACCAGAAAAGATGAGTGATGATGAATGGACTGCTCTAGACAGGAAAGCTTTGGCTGTTATCAGATTTACCCTAGCCAAGAGTGTGGCGTTTAACATCTTGAAGGAGACTACTGCATGTGGTTTGATGAAGGCTTTGTCAAACATGTATGAGAAACCATCGGCGTCAAATAAGGTATTTTTGATAAGACAGCTAGTAAACACCAGAATGAAAGAAGGTGCTTCTGTTACCTCACATATTAACGAGTTCAATACTATCATATCCCGCTTGCTATCTGTTGATATTAAGTTTGAAGATGAAGTCCAAGCTTTATTCTTGTTATCCTCATTACCAGAAAGTTGGTCAGGAACAGTCACTGCCATTAGCGGTTCAACTGGAACTTCTAAACTCACTTTTGAGGGCATTCGTGACATTATCCTTGGAGAGGATATAAGAAGGAGGAGTTCTGGAGAATCTTCTAGTGCTTTGTTAAGCACTGAAGGGAGAGGTAGAAAGAAAGAGAAGGGAAATAGCAGAGGCAGATCAAAGTCTAGAAAGAGGAGCCAATCAAAGCCGAGAAAAGATATTCAATGCTGGAACTGCAAAGAAACTGGGCATTTCAGAAATCAATGCCCTAAATCATCAGAAAGGAAGGAAGTGAATGCAGCCACTGACGATTCAGATGATGCTCTTATTTGCTGTGTGGAAAACTCAACAGAGTCGTGGATTATGGATTCCGGTGCATCTTTTCATGCTACTTTCAGCACAAAGATGATAAAGAATCTACGGACAGGTAATTTTGGTAAAGTTCGTTTGGCTAATAACGACTCTCTTGACATCACAGGGATGGGTGACATAGACTTAAAGACTTCTTTGGGCACCACTTGGACATTGAAAGACGTTCGGGTCATTCCAAGCCTTAAGAAGATGCTGATTTCTATTGGGCAGTTGGATGATCAGGGATTTGATGTTACATTTGGTGAAGGACAATGGAAGGTTGTCAAGGGGAATCTTGTAATCGCTAGAGGCAAAAAGAGGGGTACTTTATATATAAATGAAGCCCCTGATGATGAGATGAATGCAGTGACCTGCGGGCTGAATCCATCCAGTTTGTGGCATCAACGGCTTGGCCACATGAGTGAAAAGGGAATGAAGATGCTCGTTGCAAGGGGGAAACTTCCAGATCTGAAAAAGGTGAATTCTGAGTTCTGTGAACCTTGTGTTCTTGGCAAGAAAAAGAAGGTTTCTTTTTTGAAGACAGGCCAGACACCGAAAACTCAGAAGTTGGAGCTAGTTCACACGGATGTGTTTGGCCCGACGCCAGTCTCTTCCCTGGGAGGATCAAGCTACTATGTGACCTTCATTGACGACTCAACACGCAAGGTATGGGTCTACTTTCTTAAAAATAAGTTTGAAGTTTTCAATATTTTTAAGAAGTGGAAAACTGCTGTTGAATTGGAAACTAATTTGAAGGTAAAGTGCTTGAAATCGGACAATGGCGGTGAATACATTAGCACAGAGTTTATTGATTATTGTGCTGAACATGGCATTCGGATGATAAAGACGGTTCCAGGCACTCCTCAACAGAACGGAGTGGCAGAAAGGATGAACAGAACTTTGAATGAGAGGGCCAGGAGTATGAGACTCAATGCTGGGCTTCCAAAGACGTTTTGGGCTGATGCAGTGAATACTGCTGCTTATCTTATCAACCGGGGGCCATCAGTACCATTAGGTTTCAAGATACCGGAGGAAGAATGGAAAGGAGAAGCTGTCAGGTATGGGCATTTAAAGATATTTGGTTGCAGCGCTTATGATCTTATGAAAGATGGTGACAAGTTAGATGCTAAAGCCAAGAAATACACTTTCATTGGATACGGGGGAGACAGCATGGGTTACCGGCTTTGGGACTGTGAAAGCAGAAAGGTAATCAGAAGTAAGCATGCTACATTCAACGAGGCTGAACTTTATAAAGACAGAAGCACGACAAACTCAAAGATTCAGAAAGAGCAAATTGAGTTTGAAAATGAAGTCATCAGAAACAGAGAGTCTGAAGATACTCAAGGCAGTGGGAGCATAGAGAATGATTCCAGTACTGACGAGCTTGAGGATAATCAAGGAGATTCTGTTGATAGTGACAATTCAGAAGATGAATCTGCAGCTTCACCCATGCAGCCACAGCCAGTTGAAACACAGTGGGTCAGGAGATCCACTAGAGTCACTAAACCTCCAGAAAGATTCAGTCCATCAGTCAATTACCTTCTTTTGACTGAAAACGGAGAACCAGAAAGTTATCTTGAAGCAGTAAAGCAGAATGATTCGTTTCAGTGGGAGCAAGCTATGAAGGAAGAAATGGGTGCCTTGCACAAGAACAAGACATGGGTTCTTACTAAGCTTCCGCCAAGCAAGAAGGCACTTCAAAATAAATGGGTATTCAGAATCAAGGATGAGCCTGATGGGTCTAAACGGTACAAAGCCCGTTCAGTGGTCAAAGGTTTTCAGCAGAAAAAGGGAGTGGATTATAATGAGATATTTTCCCCAGTGGTTAGAATGACCACCATCAGATTGGTTCTAAGCATTGTAGCTGCAGAGGGCTTACATCTAGAGCAACTAGATGTTAAGACAGCATTTTTACATGGTGACCTTGATAAGGATATCTATATGGCACAGCCTGAAGGATTTCAGATTGCTGGTAAAGAAAATCTGGTCTGCAAACTAAAACGAAGCTTATATGGTCTGAAACAAGCTCCGAGACAGTGGTATTTGAAGTTTGATAACTTCATGATAAGGACAGGGTACAGAAGATGTGAGATGGATCATTGCTGCTACGTAAAGAGGTTCAAGAGTTCATATATCATTCTACTTCTCTATGTAGATGATATGTTGATAGCTGGTGCAGATATGAAAGAGATCAGCAAGTTAAAGAAGCAAATGTCTCAAGAATTTGAAATGAAAGATTTAGGTCCAGCCAAACAAATACTCGGAATGAGCATAGTCCGAAACAAGGAGAATGGTTCTTTAACACTATCCCAGGAGAAGTACATTGGGAAAGTGTTGGAGAAATTCAATATGAATGGTGAGAAGACTAAACCGAGAAACACGCCTTTGGGATGTCACTTCAAGCTTACCAAAGACCAATCTCCGAAAACAAACGAAGAGAACGCAGAAATGGCTAAAGTTCCTTTTGCATCTGCAGTTGGTAGCCTCATGTATGCTATGGTGTGCACGAGACCAGATATAGCTTATGCAGTCGGAGTTGTTAGTCGCTTCATGTCAAAACCGGGGAGAGAACATTGGGAAGCAGCCAAATGGATACTTAGGTATTTGAAGGGTACTACAAAGATGGGGTTATGTTTCCGAGGTAAAGACGTAATTTTAAGAGGGTATTCTGATGCTGATTTGGGGGGATGCAAAGAGACGTTCAAAAGCACTACGGGGTACATTTTCACAGTGGGAGGAACCGCAGTTAGTTGGATGTCCAAACTTCAGAAAAGTGTAGCTCTCTCAACAACCGAAGCAGAGTACATGGCAGTTGCTGAAGCCAGTAAAGAGCTGGTTTGGTTGAGAAACTTTCTTGAAGAGTTAAACAAAAAGCAAGCAGATTACTCATTACACTGTGATAATGAGAGTGCAGTGAAACTTGCCAATAATCCAGTGTATCACGGGAAAACGAAGCACATTGGGATGAGATATCACTTTGTTAGAGGGTTGATCAGTGAAGGAACGATGAACTTGAAGAATATCTCAGGTGCAAAGAATCCAGCAGATATGTTCACTAAATCTGTGACGCTGGACAAGCTGAAGTTCTGTGTAACTTCAACTGGCCTTCAAGAATAATGTTGAGAAGGCAGGTGGCAACTAGGAGAAGCTAAACACAGATGAAGTTTACAGAAGTACAGAGGAGTGGAGTGCAGTTGATTGTGTTTCGAAGCCTCCAAGTGGGAGATTGTTGGGCTGTAGGCTTCGGCCCACTCAGACCTGGGAGTCATTTAAACAAAGAGCAGCAGCCTGCTCTAGTTAAATGTGCAGGCAGCCCTAGTTGGGCCTATTTCTTTGATGGCAGTCAGGCCCAGAACCTTATTTAAGTGCTTTACCCTAATTGTTTGCCTATATATTGACTCCTGTACTTGTAAAATTATCATCTGTATCATTCATCATCTCAATAAAGAAGAAAACCCTAGTTGCCCCCGTGGATTAGGTCAGTAACACTTACTGGCTGAACCACGTTAATTTCTGTGTGCCGTTTCTTCTCGTTCTTTTCTCGTTTTCAGATTTGTGTGTGTGTGAACCCTAACCTTAACATATTCATCTCTTTTATATTATCTTTTTATAATAGCTTATCTCTTTTATTTTATTTTTCTTTTCCTTTTGGTGATATCATGTATCGATTCATGTTAGCCGACCCCAATATCTTTTGGAATAAGGCTTGGATGTTGTTGTTGTAAATTGTGATTATACAATACATTTAATCATCGTTTATTCACTTTTAGATTTAGAAACATTAAATTTATCAAGATATAGACTAATCCCTCCAAAAGCCTTCTAAATCCTTCCATCCAAACTCACGTTAGAGAAATATGTGATTGGGGGGAAATATACCACATGCACTGCATATCATAAAGATTATTGTGCTGATCGCCGTCTTTTGTGAATAATACTGCTGTCTTTTCAGCCAATGCAACCTTCAGTCCAGTGTACAAAGGGAACACGATCAATTACAGGAACCACACTATTGTTGCATAAGGGTATTACACATGAGAGTTCTGCTGCTTCTGGATCTAAGTAAAAAAGTTCCAAAAGATTATAACCTGGTCAGCCTCCAACATACGCTTCACACATTTACTATTAAGATATCGATCTGCAAGATCCATACACCTAGCTTCATCAGCCAATGCAGCTGCTGCTGCCAAGTCACCAGCGTGCTTTAATATTCGGCTCTAGAGTAAAATAGAAAACCACATAGATATGATGAGGAACTAAATATATTGGTAAGGGGGGAGAAGACAAGGTTGCAAACCTATAGATGCTAAAGCTGTTGTTTATGTTTAATACAGTATCTAAGCCGAGTTTGCCGTGTGCTAGTCCTCAGATATCACGTCAGCACTTAGCAGGATTAGCAAATCTTATTGGGTTTTAAATATTGAAATGACTAAACAAACAGAAAGTTGGACATATTTTTACTTCTGCAACTCATGTGAATGCAGCAAGAAAACCGTTTAATGGTTT